CCCAAACCCTAAACCCTAAGCCCTAAACCCTAAACCCTAAACCCTAAACCCTAAACCCTACGGTTTTGGCGGCGAGTCCGCGGCGCTGGTCCGCGAAAATGAAGGGTTTGTGGAGGGCCCAGGGGGCCCTTTTGTTGGCCCTCAAAACTCCATTTAAAATTTCATTTAAACTCCATCGAAAACCCCCGACGCAAACCCTAGACCCCCACATAAACCGCTGCCGCTGCAGCAAACCCTCGGGCACGCCCACCTGAAGCGCAAACCCTAAACCCTAAACCCTAAACCCTAGGCTCCAGGCAGATCCCCCCAGCGCTAAACCCTCCGGCCCACACCCTAAACCCTAAACCCTAAACCCGAAACCCTAGAGCGAGGGTGGAGAGCAGGCCGCGGGTGCTGCAAACGCTGAATTAGGGTTTAGGGTTTGCCTGGAGGAGGGCGAGGGTGTGGGCGAGGTTGAAGAGGTTGAGGAAAAAGGCCAAGTGCTGCTGCTGCTGCTGCTGCAGAGAAAATAAAATGGTGGTTTGCAATTCGCAGCAATTCAAAAACACTTGCAGACACCGCGGGTCTGTACATACACCCCGGCTCTCCACCAAACCCCCCGCCGCGCTGTGCGAACCCTGCAAACCACAAACCCTAAACCCTAAACCCTAAACCCTAAACCCTAAACCCTAAACCCTAAGCCCCAGGCCCTAGGCGCTGGGGGCTAGTTGGGGAGGGCCTGGGGTCAGGGGGTGGGCGTGAGGGGAGGGGCTGCTGCGGTGGGCGCCGCGCCCGAGGGTTTAGGGTTTAGGGTTTGGGGTTTAGGGTTTAGGGTTTACGAGGAGGTCGAGGGTTTGGCGCAGCAAGTACTCGACGAGCGGCAAAGGCTCTGCTGCGGGTTTGGTCCATTTGAAGAGAAAATTCGAAACTGCTGTTTGCTGCTGCTGCTGCAGCACGAACTTTCGGGTGTACGTACACTCGAACAGGTACACCCCAGACTCCGGCACTTCCCGCAGCACCTCCAGCTCCAGCAGCTGCTGCCCCACCTGAACACAAACCCTAAACCCTAAACCCTAAACCCTAAACCCTAAACCCTACACCCTCGCAAGCCCTACGGCCTGGCGTGCTCTGCGCCGAAGGCCGGTGAACCCTGCACCCTCGCAAACCCTAGGTCCCTGCAAACCCTAAACCCTCGCAAACCCTAAACCCTAGCAAACCCTAAACCCTCGCAAACCCTAAACCCTGGCAAACCCTTAACCCTGCAAGCCCTAAACCCTCGCAAACCCTAAACCCTAGCAGAGGCAGAGGAAGCAGCAGCCAGAAGGCTCTCAGGCCTTGGGGTTTGACAAAGGGCGGGCGTGGGGCGTCTGGGCACGCATAAGGGTTTAGGGTTTAGGGTTTAGGGTTTACGTAGACCGCGTCTTCCAGGCTGAGAGAAAGGGCCTTTTGAATTGCTGCTGCTGCTGCTGCTCCCGAAATGCTGCTGTCGCTGAGGACCCCCGAAGCAGCTTTTGGCAGTGCAGCAACAAACCGCGGCAGCAGCTCGCAGAGGCTAATTTCCCGGTAAGCTGCTGCTGCTGCTGCTGGTGCTGCTGCTGCTGCTGCTGCTGCTGTGGGCTCGGCTGCTGCGCCGCCCGCGCCAGAGGCCCCTGCGTCTGCTGCTGCTGCTGCTGCTGCTG